GGGTTTTTCAACATGAATAGTGTGGGGTTTTCAACATGGATAGTGTGGGGTTTACAACATGGATAGTGTGAGGTTTTCAATATGGATAGTGTGAGGTTTTCAATATGGATATAGTGGGGGTTTTCAACATGGATATAGTGTAGGGTTTTAAAATGGATAGTGTACCGGGTTTTCAACATGGATAGTGGGGGGATTTCAACATGAATAGTGTGGGGGTATTCAACATAGATAGTGTTGGGTTTTCAGCATGGATATACTGGGGGTTTTTAACATGGATATAGTGTGGGGTTTTCAACATGGATATAGTGAGGGGTTTTCAACATGAAGAGTGGGGGGGGGTTACAATATGGATAGTGTTTGATTTTCAACATGGATAAAGTGGGGTTTTCTACAAGGATAGTGTGGGGTTTTCAACATGGATAGTGTAGGGTTTTCAAAATGGATAGTGTGGGGTTTTCAACATGGATAGTGTGGGGTTTTCAACATGGATAGTGTGGGGTTTTCAACATGGATATAGTGGGGTTTTCAACATGGATATAGTGTGGGGTTGTTAGCATGAATAGTGAAAGCTTTTCAACACTATCAAACTGGAAATTTTCATCAGTACCTAACCATTCCCGAAGTACCAAACACTTTTGGAAAAAGAACCGTCCTTTCGTTACAATGCAGGTACATTGTTTATTAGGACAGAAACAAAGTTTGGCAATGATAAACAAGACTGTATTCCAGAAGCATTGGATATAATTGATTTGAATAAAATCATACAAATTGAACCAAAACAAGCATAGATTTCGTCCTTAAAAAAAAATCTCCCACTTAGATTAGAGAGCTGAAAGAATTTACCCCCCCCCCCTTTTTAAATCCTTGATGAGACTGAATATTGTTCATATGTTATCAGAATTTCATGAAAGAATGATTAAATAAATTTATACTAAACAAGAATTAACAGAAATTAGTATTACCTACTCTGCTATTTAATAAGCTCTCTCACCTTTTGCCTGTTGTTAAACACAATCACATATGGATCTGACTTTCCAGTGCGGTCCATTGCAAGAAGATTACTGCCGCTGTGCACACAGATATACATCACCCCAGCTAACTGACCATCCATTATAGGAGGTAACGCATCAATATTATCCAAACTTATAGATTCTAGTGGGGTGTATTCCATCAAAAGTGACAGCTTTATTTGCTTCTTTTGTAAAGTTATCTCAATACTGAAAAAAAAAACAATAATATAAATATTATTAATAAAAATTATAATATGCAAAAAATAATAATTTGTTTCTATTATTAAGACCTATTATGATGCAAACATAAAAAAATGATTTTCAGTCTCCAAGTTTGATAATCTTTCAATAGATAACCCTGCAGCAACACATAAAACATAGCTTTCTGCAAGATGAACACCAGTCAGCATATCATGAAACAGGTTCAGTGTAGATAAGCCATGATTAATGTGGCGTCTTAAAGACTGTGACTTAATCTGCTTTGGGCGTTAAGTGAGCCGATTATTCAATCAATTAACTGTTACAAAGAAGACGTCTGTCATCTCCCGGACAGTAGAGCACCTTTTCTGTTAACATCTAGATATAACCATCCCTACATGATGTGTGTCAGACAAACAATTTGTATTTATTAGATACATACAAATCAGCAGTTGAAGAAGTTTAATTTTGAATTCCACTGGAGAATTGCTGTTACTCAGTTTAATGATCTCAAGTCAGACTGTGTGTTCAGTCATCATTATCTCATTAGTTTGTGATAGTCAATTCCACGTACTTGCATACTAACTAAACTAAAGTGTTGTTTAGCCATTTTGTATATAAGTACTGTTAAAATACTTTATTTTCGCTTGGAATTAATTTTTTGCTATTTTCGCTGAAGGAGTGATTCAGTGAAAATGAAATCCAGTGAATATACCTTTTTTCCTATATTTTACATTCAACTCATCAAACATCAGTGAAAATAAATTTCATAGAAAACACCCAAAATGTCTTTTCAGCGAAAATTAAATCCAGCTAAAATAAAGTATTCTACAGTAGTCTATATATAATGCTTATCAAACGCAATTATTGGAAGTGCAAATGTATATGCAAGGTTTTACTGAAATTATGTATATTCCTAGTTATATCTATTATCACCAGCATTCCCACGACACAGGTACTCTGATCATTTTAATCATGAATGATTAGGATACACATATCACCTCAATAATCAATTAATATCTGGTGATCAGGGAAAATGTTGACACATTAGCCAACAGATAAATCAGAGTAAAAACTATTCACATATCAATTACATGTGATGAACATAAAATGGGAAGATTTATTTCCTGAGTCAGAAGAGAAGAAATCTTCATTTCAATTAAATATAATATCCACTTATCATCTCAAGCATCAAACGTATGATTAACTACTGGCTGAAAATAAAACATATGGATGAAACCACTCTGATCTCTGAGGCCTACAAACTTGGCACCAATTTGGACAAAGAAAACGTCAGTAATTGGACCACAGGCATAAAAAAATTACTGAACCTTTTAGAAATTAGTGATGTTTGCGAAAAAACCAGTATTATCCCATTAGCTACAAAAAAACTAAAAAATAT